TTTTCAGCAGTGCCGGTGTTGTATTGGAACAGCATACGCAGTCAGATCTGAATACATTGTTTTAATGTGCATGTGCGTACATGCATAACAGAGATTAATAATAAAATAAAATAATAAAATAAAATAATCCTACATTGAATTTTGGCAGTAGTGTACCAACCAGCAAAAACATGTTTATTTTCAGCTTTTCAAGAAAAAATAGCTTTGATTATACTGTTATTTCTTGGATCTAGAAACAACCAGACATGATTGAAGTTTCCGGGATGTTGAGAGAAGAAGCGTCTATAGCTGAAACCATATTAAACCATTAATATATTAACTCCAATTGGGGAAAAAGTTAAAACAATTAAATGCGGTCTGTTTAACATAAGATCGCTTTCCTCTAAAAGTCTACTAGTTAATGACTTGATTTGTGATAATCACATTGACTTGTTTTGCCTTACAGAAACCTGGCTGCAGCAAGAGGATTATGTGAGCATAAATGAGGCAACTCCTTCAAGCTATTTAAATTTTCACATCCCCAGAAGTTCTGGGCGAGGAGGAGGAGTAGCAACAATCTTCCAGTCTGACTTACTGATTACTCCCAAAACAATTAATACCTACAACTCTTTTGAACATTTAACCCTTAATTTCCCTGATCCAAATTTCAAGGCAAGAAAACCTCTTCTTTTTGTAACTTTGTATCGTCCACCAGGTCCTTACTCTGAATTTTTAGATGAGTTTTCAGAGTTCCTTTCTGATTTGGTATTAAATACTGACAGGGTCATCATAGTGGGAGATTTTAACATCCATGCTGACATTGAAGGCGATAGCTTAAGAGCAGCCTTTAATGCTATCTTAGACACTGTTGGCTTTGTTCAAAATGTGAATAGTCCCACGCATTCTCATCTTCATACTTTGGATCTTGTGCTGACATACGGCATAGAATGTGAAGAAATAACAGTATGTCCTCACAACCCTGTCCTCTCTGACCACTTTCTAATAACCTTCAGGATTACTTTAACAGAGTTCTCCTCCCCCAAAAGAAGGTTCAATTTTAGTAGATCTTTATCAGATAGTGCAGTTATACATTTTAAAGAATCTGCTTCACTTTCTCTCTCCTCTGTGTCACTGAGCAGTGCTGCAGAGTGCAAAAGCTTAGCTTATTCCCCTTCACAGGTTGATGATTTTGTTGATGGGGTTGCTAGTTCTCTGCGTATTGCCTTAGACAACGCAGCTCCTTTGAAAATGAAAACCGTTAAAAATAGAAAGCTTGCTCCTTGGTTTAATGCAGAGCTGCGTACTTTGAAGCAAAATGCTAGGAAACTGGAGAGAAAATATCGCTCCACAGGCCTGCGAGAGTCCTTCCTAGTCTGGAAAAATGGTTTACTGCTGTATAAGAGGACCCTTTGTAAAGCAAGAGCAGCATACTTCTCCTCATTAATAGAGGAGAATAAGAATAATCCTAGATTTCTTTTTAATACAGTTGCCAAACTCACCCAGAGCCATAGCTCTGTTGAACCGTCCATTCCACCTGCTCTTAGCAGCAATGATTTTATGGGATTCTTTATAAATAAGATTGATCTTATTAAAAATAAGATCATAAGCACTCCTCTATCCGCGATTGTACCTGAGGTAGTCATGGAATCTGAACCGGGTTTAGACTGCTTTGATCCAGTTGAACTCTCTGAATTAGCAAAATTATTGTCTTCATCTAAGCCTTCAACTTGTATGTTAGATCCAGTTCCAACCAGGTTATTTAAGGAGGTATTCCCTTTGATCTCCTCCTCCATTTTAGATGTGATTAATCTATCTCTGTTACAGGGATATGTACCTAAAGCTTTTAAGGTTGCTGTAATTAAACCTCTGCTTAAGAAACCGTCTCTTGACCCAGATGACTTGGTCAATTATAGACCTATATCCAATCTTCCTTTCTTATCCAAAATTCTTGAGAAAGTAGTTGCCAAACAAGTTTGCGATCACTTACACCATAATGAACTTTTTGAAGAGTTTCAGTCTGGCTTTAGAGCTCATCATAGCACTGAAACAGCTCTGGTGAAAGTCACTAATGATATTCTCATGGCCTCAGATAATGGACTTGTATCTGTGCTCGTCCTGTTGGATCTTAGTGCTGCATTTGATACAGTTGACCATAATATTCTTTTAGAAAGACTTGAATATTTTGTTGGAATTAAAGGAACAGCACTAGACTGGTTTAAATCTTATCTATCTGATCGAATTCAGTTTGTTCATGTTAATGATAGATCTTCAACACGCTCAAAGGTTACCTGTGGAGTACCACAGGGATCAGTGCTAGGACCAATTCTCTTTACTTTATACATGCTCCCAATTGGTAGAATTATTAGACAGCATGGGATTAATTTCCACTGTTATGCTGATGATACCCAGCTATATCTGTCTATAAATCCAGATGAAGCTAACCCATTACATAGATTACAGGCATGTCTTGAAGACATAAAAACCTGGATGACTCTTAACTTTCTGCTTCTGAATGCAGACAAAACAGAAGTTATAGTCTTTGGACCAGAGTCTCTGAAAAAGAAACTGATTAGCCAGTCACTTCATTTGGATGGGATTAAACTGATTTCAGATAATAAAGTAAAAAATCTTGGTGTTATTTTTGATCAGGACCTGTCATTTAAATCCCATATCAAAGAGGTTTCTAGAATTTCCTTCTTTCATCTGAGGAACATTGCAAAAATTAGAAATATCCTGTCCAGGGGTGATGCTGAGAAACTAGTCCATGCATTTGTTACTTCAAGGCTGGACTATTGTAATTCTTTACTATCAGGAAGTCCACAAACTGTAGTTAAAAGCCTTCAGCTGATCCAAAATGCTGCAGCCAGGGTTCTGATGAAAATTAAAAAGAGAGATCATATCTCGCCTATCCTGGCTTCTCTTCATTGGCTTCCTGTTAAATCAAGAATAGAATTTAAAATCCTCCTTCTCACATATAAAGCCTTAAATGGCCAAGCACCATCTTATATCAGAGATCTGATTGTTCCTTATGTTCCTAACAGAGCACTTCGCTCTCAATCTGCAGGTTTACTAGTGGTTCCTAGAATTTCTAAAAGTAGAATGGGAGGCAGATCTTTTAGTTATCAGGCTCCTCTCCTGTGGAACCAACTACCAGTTTTAGTCCGTGAGGCAGACACCCTGTCTACTTTTAAGGCTAGGCTTAAAACTTTCCTTTTTGATAAAGCTTATAGTTAGGGTGGCTCAGGTTATCCTGAGCTATCTCTATAGTTATGCTGCTATAGGCTTAGACTTTTGGAGGACATAGGGACCCCCATTTCATCATTCTGCTTCATTCTCTCTCTGTTCTCCTATTCTGCAGAATCTGTTAGTTCAATCTCTAACCTTCTGCTCTCTCTGCTTTTCCTCAGAGTAGTTTTGCCTCGTCTGTTCCTGTTTGGCTGTGACGTCATCCTGGAAAGAAACATCAGCTGTGCTGCTTCCATCAACACCCTTGTTTATAGATGTTGGAGATCGGCCTGTTTTCCAGTGTGGTCCTGTTTCTCTGGCCGTGACTGAGTGGATGTGTTCTCTTCGTCCTCTGGCATGGGAGCTGCCTTGGAGCTCGTCTGCCTGGCTGTGTGTTTCCTGGACGGGGCCGCCTTTTACAGCTGCTTTTTGTATCTCTGTTTCTGTCTCCTTGAACCCCAGTCGGCCTCGGCAGATGGCCGCTCACACTGAGCCTGGTTCTGCTGGAGGTTTCTTCCTGTTAAAAGGGAGTTTTTCCTCTCCACTGTCGTTACAAGCATGCTTAGTGTGGGGGATTGTATTTGAGTCAATGAGTCAATGCAATCAACTGGTTTTCCTTAGATAGAAAACTTTGTATCAATTTGACTGTATGATCTGGTTGAACTGTAAAGTGCCTTGAGATGACATGTGTTGTGAATATGGCGCTATATAAATAAACTGAATTGAATTGAATTAGGCCATATCAATTTAAAATACAAGTAAAAAACATGTTTGCAGGAATTTAAATTTGGTTAGATTTTGTTTTCACATTTTAAAATCATTAAAAACACTGGCTGCGTTTTATATTGTGACTCTGAATTCCTTTAGGTTAGATAAAAACTAACCATATGCCGATTTGACAGCATATGCTGTTCTAACGGGACAAAGGACTGGGATTTTTTTAATTTCTTAAAAGAGGCGTGTCAGATTTCTAATCATACTGCCACCTCTGGCCGAAACACAAAACTGCAGCACTCTTCTGTTCCTTCTTGCAGCTCGATTTCATACTTGACAAGGTTTTTTTACATGGAGATACCATCGGTGTCTGAGTTGAGTTACATGCAGGTTGCTTCTGAGTATCAACCAAATCTATCTTGAATATAACCCTTAGATTTTTTTGCTAGATTGGATCCATTTAACACACTTGACATCACTTGCGGAGAAACAGAGCAGCAATTTCTGACTCAAAGTACATTCAGGAAAAATAGGCTAAACTTCTGAGGTGTCAGTCTCCTCATTCAATGATGTTTGTTGTAAACGGTGAAACAAAAAGGCTACTGTAAAGATATTTTTTAATATAAACTTACTAAATGTCCTTTTAATAAACATCCAAAGCTCCTGGAACCTAAGGTAAAGATAAATACTGAACACAAAAAGAGAACCATGTGCCTTCTTATGTTTCCAACTCTGTGCGGACCTCAGGATCATAGAGAAGATCACAGCATGGCTGACTTTGATGTCTCTTTTACTACAGTGCTCATTGAGTTATAGCGAATGGTGTATCTCAACCTTCCCTGTTCTTTTGTAACCGAATAAACAATAAACCAGCAGTAGGCCTCATATGTTCAATGTCGGTGTTTTATATCAAAGATAAAATGATATTGTACTTGGTGACGGAAAGGTATTGTTCACAGTGATAGGACTGTAAGTACATCTTATCATTACAGTTCTTTTGGAGCAGAGACTGTTTCTTTTCACCTTGGTGTATCCAACACTTGGCCACAAGTTCATCTCAAATCATAGCTGGTTTAGAAATATTTCCATGAGCATCTTCAGTTTTATTTCCCTCCTTTTTTCTTCGTCTGTCACTCATTCAGAAGCTTTGCCTTCATGGAAAAGCTGAATTTGTTGTCCTGGCGCATCCTGCTCCTGTGCCGTTGTGAAGCTCTGCTCCAATGGGCTTTACTTTGTCATGTTATCATCCTGTTTTACATCACCCGCTGCCATCTTGTTTTCCTTTACACTTGAAGGCTTGGCCACTTGTAAATATCTGGAAACAGTTTTAGTGAGAAAACCAATAAGAGTAGCATAAAAACCAGTATTCCTAAATTATTTCAATCCAGACTTGTCAATTTTAGTTTGTACTTGGACACAAAGTTCTCCAGGTCTTATTGCATAATGTAGCACATTCAGATCCTAAGTCTCTAAGTCTCACTTCCTAACCAGGAGGCTTTTTCAATTCAAAATGTCAGAAATAGAGTTTAGTTGCTTTATACAGTAGTCCAACAAAGTCTTGTGTTTGTTTAGAAAACATGCAAATTAAAAAGGACCATCGGGTCCATCCCTTTGGAATGGGGTCTTTGGTGCCCTTTGTTAGCCTGCAATGCCCCATACCTGTCTATGTCTCTGTTGTTTGGGAGGAGCGTGAAGGAAGCCATCTATGTTAAAGGAAAATTCCGGTTTTTAACACTTTTAGCCCCTTTTCTGTAGTGTCCAGGATGAAATCGAATGATTGACACCAAAATTTTGACGATTGGTCCTGTCTCGGCTATTTGGCTCATGCAGAAAATGCATGAGCTCTTACTGTTTTACTCTTCAGAGACTCCAGGGGTCTCATTTATAAAGCTTCTGTATGCATAAAACGGGTCCTGTTATTTGTGTATGCCAACAACCATGCAAAGGCTATGATTTTTATGAATCCCTCATGCAAACTCTGCTAAATAAATGAGACCCCTGGTGATTTCCAACAAGTGAAGAAGACACTAAGTATTCTTGAAAGTTTTTAAATAAACAATGAGCAGTAACTGAGCAGCTGGTTTGGAAAAGAGAATATTGATGCTAAAGCATGAATGCAATGCAGACTGTCCAATGCATCAGGCTAGCAGGATCTGGCTTTTAAAAAAAATTTTGTCTTCATACAGTTGTGCAAAAGGACTCACCAACCTTCTTAATTGTAAATATTGAAAATAACATAAGGAGGGCAAGTCTTAACAACAGCTTTTAAAAGACCAACTTGTCACATACAATAAATAAACCGAATCAGTGTCTAAGATGGTTTGTCAACCCCATGGTTTAACAGCAGACCAAGCAGTGGTTGAAGAAATATGAGTTTAGCCTTATAATATATCTTTAATTCATTCAAGTCTTTATGCATCACCATCACAGCATTTCAGATGGGTTTTAAACTGGATGTTGACTGGAAAGAACTTGAGTGTTATTTTTTTTTACTACTAATAGGAAACATCCAGCTTCCTTTTCCTACTTCCTTCCTTAGTGCCAGCAGTATTTGGACAGTACTTGTCATGTAAACTGTTGCCGCTCTTCCACTTTGGCGTAAGAGTCCTTACATGTACATTATTCAGATAGAATCACAGATTGCAAGGCCCTCAGATGTATGTAGATTATGGTTTTAAAGTACAGCCAAGTGTTCAACCATCCTCCTTCCTGCTACATTGTTGATGTTAGGTGCTGTGATGTACTGTACTGGATCTCTCAAAAAGTTTCCAACCTTGGTCCCATGTGTCCTAAATTCTTTTGGTAGTCCTGCTATTCCTAGCAACTTTGCAAACCTAAGTCATGCTACCACATTGCCCTGAGAGATGAGAATCTATTCTAAATTAAACAAAATTTCTGTTTCTTCTATTGTCCTGTCATATATTTAATGATTCCCATGCTAACTGAGACCTGTAAATCTAGGACACTTTATCAAACAGTGCTCATTTAGTCTTTTAGTTATTTAATCTTTGAACTTTTAGTCATTTAACTTTTGTATTTGGCCTTATAATAAAAGCTTCTGGTCTGAGATAGAAACTATCAATGTTCTTGAGTGTTTTTCACTAGATATATTTTTTCATGCTGAATAATGGACTGAATATATTTTGAATTAGAAAGATCACCACTATTGGCTTTTCTTCGTGTTACTCTCTGTGAATGGCAGAAAGTAAAGGACTAATGTAATTCCTGTTTTTATAACAGCGACCTCTTATGTTTAACTGATGCCTTCGTTTACATACAAATGACTACTAAGTGCCCTCCGACATCCTTAAATCTTTTCTGGTTTTGAGAACTGGCAAGGTGTCAATCAAAAATTAATAAAGGATGGTACTTCCTTTTACACAAACCAAGACCAGTCAATGCATTCACTAGACCAAAGTCTACATGCATGGAAAGACTAAGGTGTACTACGACATAAACATACTGGAGCCATTATCTTACTAGTGCTTTTGAATCCCAGTGACATTACTGAGGAAACCTTCTCCCATCATTGATGTCATGTTATGAAATCAAGTTCTTGTACATCACAGAAGATTTGGGGGAGAAGATTTAGAGCTCAAAAGGCAGCAGTAAGCTTCAGATTCAAGCTCAGACAAAGCAGCCACTGATAGCGTGGATGGGCTTCCTACCTGGGATACTGGCTTTTCATAGGAGAGATGGATATTGTTGATGGTTGTTGATGATGATACTGAAGAGGCAGATTGGTAAGACATCTTGGCTGTTTGGCAAGATGTCCAAATATTGGCAAAGGCAGAAGAACTGAGTAAAGTCTTAAAGTTTTGGTAGAAAGTTTTCCAGGCCATGAATCTGCAGTTTTTTTAAATTCTTCTTTAAATTCATTAGAGTCAGCTTTTTGAAATCCGAGACTAAGGTTCTCAACTGGAAAAAGAATAAATGATTTGAGAGGGTCTGCAGGAGATGGATAGATGAACTGGAGTTTCGTCAGCAGGAAGGCAGTCTCCAAGAAAGATCTAAGCCAAAGGTGTAGCTGGGTTCATCTCTCTACATGTAAACCCTCATCAATGGTCACAAGAAAGAGAATCTGACTGCAAGAAGTAGGGGAAGTTTGCTCTACCTAATGTGACCTGATAGGTTTGAAAGATTGATCAATTCAGGGGAGTTTGAAACACAATTTTCTGCAATGCCACAAGGTGGAGGTTTACTTTAAAAATGTATCGGCATGCAATGTATCTTGGCCTGGAAGCGTTCTGTCTCGTCTCGAGCAAAATGGGATCTGTGAGGATGTAGCCGGGGAAAGGAATGTCTGGGTTTCTCCCATCAACCTTCCATGCCCTTGACCCAATCCTGGATATAAGTGAAATACATTAGGGGATTGATGATTCATCCCACCATTGACATAAAGGATGCTGGGAAATACATGTTTAAAGGGTGTTGCCAAAGAGGTGACAAGAAAGGAAGAATTTTATTTGTTGGTAGGAAAGCAAACAAGGAAAAGGGGGATTAAGAGGTATGCCTGGAGTTAGGAAAAGGAGTAAAACACCCTTAGTGCATTCAAGAATATGCTTTTCCTCGGGAGGAGAAGGAGTCTTTTGAAATCAGAAGGTAGAACGGTAGATGGGTAGGCATATAAAGGACAGAAGAAGAAGTGGGTGAGGGAAGGGTTGTTGTTAAGAGTACAGAGCATCAATACCTGCAGGACTGAGAACCAGAGATTGCAGAATATCAGAAAGAGAGACAATCCCCCTCACCACATCTTCTCTGTCGACCAAAACTAGTCGATGAACCTAAAGAGAAAATACAACACAGTTTGGTTATAACCCTGCATCAATATTTCTTTATGTTCAGTGTTTCAGTTGAAATAACCACTGTGGTGTTATGTTTCCTATGTCCTAACATGAGGACATGCAGCTCCTCTGCTTTTATCCTGTGTTCTGCAGTATTACTCCTATCAGTCAAGAAAAAAAGAGAGCTAGGAAGAGGGTTTTATTGCTCTCAGCTCCTCTAGCATAACAGAGTTAGCTCATGCACAGAACAATTAGCCATGCTCTCAGGTAGTTTTATTTAGAAACTTTTTTGAATATGAATTTAAATAAAGACATTTGACTTTGAATGTTTCCTTTTTAGTTGACATTATAGGCCATGTTAATGTATTTTTTCCATTACCTGTATAACTCTTTTTATTTATTTGTATAATTTCTCATTTATATTTGAATTAAAAAATTAACAGACAATCTATGTGATTGGCAGTGATAAGTATCAGGCCAGTTAGCAGGCCTCATGCCCCATATTCAGTTAATTACTGCCTCCCAGACCCTTTGCTTTGGACCTGTCGCTGGCAACTCCATGTCATTTGCTTTCCAAGTCTCCCCGTCGTATCTTCATTGTGTGCTTATATAAGTCTGTCTGGGTGTAAGGCAGGATTGTGTGAATCTGACTGGATGAATGTGAAGTTGTTTCTCTCTACTTGTCAGGTTTGCTGTTTGCCTCGCCTGCCACTCCCACTGCTGCCGCACTGATTTAGGCCCAAGTATTAGCAGGGCCTGATGCCACCCCCGTTTTTTTATTTTTTTTCTTGATGCTGCAGCACTGACAGCTCTCTGGGTGCAGGGTTTGGTACTTCAGTGGGCGCTGTCCCATTCCTGGCTGCCTTGCCTGGGTCCCTGGCCCTGTGGGGTCCCCGCTTGAAGGTGGTTCACCCCCAGACCTCAGACCCTCATCTCTCATCCTGATCCCCCTTGAGCATGACTGGCCCCTGGCGGAGCCTATGGACTTGCTATCGCGGCCACCTGGGACCCAGGCACTATGGCCTCCGGGGTCGAGTCCCTCAGGGACTGAGCCCCTTTGTGGTTTGGCCCCTCAGGGGTCAGGCTCCGGTTGCTCTTGCCTGCTTTTTCTCTGGTGGGTGCGGCCATCCCTATGTGTGCCCCCCTTGTGTCCCAGTGATCCGTCTCTGGATAAAGGGGCTATCATTGCCTCCTTTTCTGTCCAGGGCCCGGTAGGGTAGGTCTGGGGCCGGCCACACCAGCTATTAAGCAAACATTGCTCCTGGAGAAGCTTTGTGAATCCTTTGTTCACGAGCAAGGTCATGCATTCGTTTCCAGGTGTTGACAGATACTTATCCCCAGTTGCTGAGGATAAGTTGGTTTCAACTTAAGCAATAACCGCTCTGCTCTCTCCATGTGGTGATGCTGTTTGACAACACCTCAAATCTATCTAGTAGCAGGAGGTGCAGGCGGAGCAGTGAACGCTCTCACCGGTTGATATAAAAACTCTATGTGAACCCACTGCGTTTGCCATAATCAACGCACCCAGTCTGAATGAAACAAAAGAATGATGCAATGACTGAAAGATGTTACTTTAAACAGCCATTCATTATCTTCTGATTTGATTTTGGTTGCATGTTAGCTTTGGCCGATGGAGTTAACTCCAACTAATATAATTAACAGTATCTTAAAAGTCGATCAGCTTTGCTTGTTTCAACAGTTATTTCATGCCTAACATTTAATGTAACTTTTACAGCAGTAACTCAGTGCGGCTTTGGTTAAATTTACACCAGTTAAACACAATAAGATAAAAAAAACAGCTCTGGTAATATAAGCCTTCCTGTGTTTACTCTTACTGTGGTGAGTCCAGTAAGAACTAACCGTGTCATCAACCTAGCAAGCATTGCACAGGTATGTAATGTCGACAATGGGTGAAACAATAAAAAAAAATATATATATTTTAAAGTAATTATGAGTTTTGACAAATTACAAGAGGATTTTTTTTTATTGATAGGAAATTTTAAAACACATTTAGGAAAACATATTTAACTAGTCATGGATAAGATTCATATTAAAGGTTGCTGGTGAAGATTTTCAGTCATCCAAGTCATAGTCATTCCAAAAAAGTAAAAAAAAAAAAAACAATCCACTGGCCTTTGTTTCCTTTATGAGACATAGACAGGTATGGAGCATTGCAGGCTAACAAATAAGTCAAATGACCCCCATTCCAAAGGGGTGGACCAGTTCGTCAGTTTCAATTTGCACGTTATCTAAGCAAAAACAAGGCTTTGTTGGGCTACTGTATAAAACCTCGAACTCAATGCTATTTCTGACATTTTGAATAAAAAAACTGAAAGCGATGGATGGGAAGTGAAACATCTTCAAACTTGGAAAAAAAAATCCAGTGGATTGTTTTTCTATAGGGTACATACAGTAAGACACCTAAAGTCCTGCAGCTGCAGAGATCGGTATTACCTCAGCCTTTGCTATACGGTCAATGATGGTCTCCAGAGTTTCGTGGGGATAACACTTGAGGACCCCTTCCACCCAACAGGATCTTGATGCAATGGCCTCTTTCATTGTCATGTTTAAATTGTTGTAATTCTTTTGAGCTGCAAGGTTCTTAAAACAGTAAAAAAAAAAAAATAATTTATGAAAATGTAAAAAAAAATCACAATAAAAAGATAGTTTAATTTATAGAGATTGAGTAGACTTACAATGACATCAAATCTGGAGTACAGTGCCACAACTTTGCCTGAAACAGTTAAACAAGAACATTATGACACACGGCTCAGGGGTTTGTCCCATCACATCTGAAGTAAAAAAAAAAAAAAACTGATCTGGGACTACTATCTGCTGCTTGGTGAGGCCAACCATATTTTATTAAACTGTGGTTTCTGTTCTCTAGAACAGAGGTCTTCAACATGGGGTCCGCCACCCCTAGGGGGTCCACAGAGGAACTGCATGCTGGTCGCGAAAGTGTTGGTTGATTAGACTTTTTTTATATCCCCGCTGCAATGTTTTCCAGTATTTGAAATGTCATTAAATACACATAAACATGAATTCAACACACTGTAGTAAACAGATAAATGGAGGTCAAATATGTCTTTCAGTCATCAATGCACACAGTCAGCGACACACAGGAGCTCTTTCAAGCTGGACACCGTTTCATTCACAACACCTGTCCCATCAACCAGGAACCAGAATCAGAAATACTTTAATAATCCCAGGCAGAAATTACTTTCTTTATAAGACTCCATCTGTAATAGAGTGACTATAGAACCAGTTTGATACTTATTTGACATTCATACAATATATAATTAGGGGGTCCCTGCTCCATCTCGCCATTAGTGTGGGGGTCCTTGGCCAGGAAAACGTTGAAGACCCCTGGTCTAGAGGAAAATCCTGAAGAAGAATGCGAGTCTAACTAGTCCATGTCCCGAAGCAGGCACTTCATGCTGGAAATCCCTGTGGCTGAAATATGTGGCTACATAAACAATTTTGAAATAAATATTTTGACAAACTTCCTCCATAAGTGGTATTACCAGTTATCACAAACACACGATGGTAGTTGCTGCTGCCAGAAGGGAACATCATTAAAATTATCAAGAATTTTGGAGCAGCAAAAAAGGAATAGGAACGTTTTAGCCATTGCATTTTAATTTTAATTTTCTCGTGTCCTACTTTTCTTTTTTGACTCTTAGTTTATTTACGGTTTTTACTATACTTATTGTTTTAAAAATATGATTATAAGTCCTAGTCCACAAGTATCCTCCTTGACATTTTCACCTAAATTTTCACATTATGATATATGTTTACATTATTTATTGACTACATCTAAAACTCTCAAAAATACTTTAAATTTAAACATAGATATGAAATAATATAATATAATCTACAATAACTTAAATAATATCATTGTACCAGGTCATCCAATCATTTCAGTTTAGTCTGTCAAATCAGCTGCCTGTAGTGTCTTTGAATGTCCAGCAGGTGTCAGTATTCTGTGAAACAGTATCAATACAGTTTGGCAATGTGTTCATACAGGTGCTGGTCATAAAATTAGAATATCATGAAAAAGTAGATTGATTTCAGTAGTTCCATTTAAAAAGTGAAACTTGTATATTATATTCATACATTACATACAAACTCATATATTTCAGATGTTTATTTTGTTTAATTTTGATGATTACAAATGACAACAAATGAAAATCTCAAATTCATCATATCAGAAAATTAGAATATTGTGAAAAGGTTCAAAATTGATGGCCCCTGGTGCCACACTCTAATCAGCTAATTAACTCAAACCACCTGCAAAAGCCTTTAAATGGTCTTTCAGTCTAGTTCTATAGGCTACACAATCATGGGGAAGACTGCTGACTTGACAGTTGTCCAAAAGACGACCATCGACACCTTGCACAAGGAGGGCAAGACACAAAAGGTCATCGCTAAAGAGGCTGGCTGTTCACAGAGCTCAGTGTCCAAGCACATTAATAGAGAGGCGAAGGGAAGGAAAAGATGTGGTCGAAAAAAGTGTACAAGCAAGAGAGATAACCGCACCCTGGAGAGGATTGTGAAACAAAACCCATTCAAAAATGTGGGGGAGATTCACAAAGAGTGGACTGCAGCTGGAGTGAGTGCTTCAAGAACCACCACACACAGACGTATGAAAGACATGGGTTTCTGCTGTCGCATTCCTTGTGTCAAGCCACTCTTGAACCACAGACAGCGTCAGAAGCGTCTTGCCTGGGCTAAAGAGAAACAGGACTGGACTGCTGGTGAGTGGTCCAAAGTCATGTTCTCTGATGAAAGTAAATTTTGCATTTCCTTTGGAAATCAAGGTCCCAGAGTCTGGAGGAAGAGAAGAGAGGCACTTCATCCACGTTGCTTGAAGTCCAGTGTAAAGTTTCCACAGTCAGTGATGGTTTGGGGTGCCATGTCATCTGCTGGTGTTGGTCCATTGTGTTTTCTGAGGTCCAGGGTCAACGCAGCCCACATACCAGGAAGTTTTAGAGCACTTCATGCTTCCTGCAGCTGACCAACTTTTTGGAGATGCAGATTTCATTTTCCAACAGGACTTGGCACCTGCACACAGTGCCAAAGCTACCAGTACCTGGTTGAAGGACCATGGTATCCCTGTTCTTAATTGGCCAGCAAACTCTCCTGACCTTAACCCCATAGAAAATCTATGAGGTATTGTGAAGAAGAAGATGCAATACACCAGACCCAACAATTCAGAAGAGCTAAAAGCCACTATTAGAGCAACCTGGGCTATCATAACACCTGAGCAGTGCCACAGACTGATCGACTCCATGCCACGCCGCATTGCTGCAGTAATACAGGCCAAAGGAGGCCCAACTAAATACTGAGTGCTGTACATGCTCATACTTTTCATGTTCATACTTTTAAGTTGGCCAACATTTCTATAAATCCTTTGTTTTTATTGGTCTTCAGTAATATTCTAATTTTCTGATATGATGAATTTGAGATTTTGTCATTTGTTGTCATTTGTAATCATCAAAATTAAACAAAATAAACATCTGAAATATATGAGTTTGTATGTAATGTATGAATATAATATACAAGTTTCACTTTTTAAATGGAATTACTGAAATCAATCTACTTTTTCATGATATTCTAATTTTATGACCAGCACCTGTATGCTTCAAGATGCCTCATTAAACCATCACTAGTGTTTTCTATTTTTCAAGCATCTCTGCTTCAAACATTTCTCCAGATGCTTTGTGGCCATTTAACCAGCAAGAAGATGACCTCAGCAGTCAGCTTATACTGACTGGAAGTATCTGGAATTAAAGCGGATGACTGTCCTACCTTGTTCGTTAACCACAGGAAGGGCTGATACTCTTCTTTCCACAAAAATAGCCAAAGCTTCGTAGACAGAAGCAGATTCCTGGACCGTTGCAATCTGCCTAAATGTACCAATGGGCACCTCGTTGATCTGCTTTTGAAGAAACCTGGGTTTGGGAATCATGGATCCCTACAGAAGCAAACACACTGATGAGACGAAGTCTGGGCATTTCTACAGCTTCAAATGTAATCTGGAGTTACACCAATTGACTCCTTTCTTACAAAGATGTGAAGGAACTTTAGGATGCGCTTGTGAGTCAGGATGTGGAGGACATTTCCTGAAGTTGGGTCAATAACCGGCAGCCGGTGGATCTTATTCTTTAACAGGGAGTAGATGGCATCAAACAAACTGAAGAGACAAAAATATTTCCTTAGACTTTGACACATTAAGAAAATACTGCTTGATTTTCTTCCTTAAGGAAGATAACTCTGCTAACCCACCTGTTCTGATTGTTTCTGTTTAACAGTTAATGTCTTGGTGGAAGATTTTAAAGATTACAGTAAGAATGAGAAACTGCCAACTGCTGGCCTGCATGTTCAGGAGGTTTCATTTGAACCTGAAGTCTGCAGTAGGTTTATTATAGTTAACTGAAACAATTACAAATGGAGAGAGCAGTTTTGTTTGGTGGCAGGCCTTCGGGGTCGGATGACAGGTCATTTGACTGGCATTCAAGTTTTTGGTTTGTATTAGCGTTTAGCTTTAACCATAAAACTACAAAAAAATAGAATAAATATTCTGTGATAGTGACAGAGATGCAACTGTAATCTTTGCTGTTTCTACTATTACCACTAGATGTCATTAATGATCCTGTAAAGAGTATTCCCTGAGCATTTTTTCTTACGATGAGCCCCCCTCTCAGTCAAAAGTATTGATGATCGTCCAAAAGTGGGACGTACAACAACTGATTCTAAAAGAAAAACTTTTTACTTAATCTTTTAATTTAAGCATTTAATTCTTATGCATTTAATGCTTTCCATTTCAATTACTAAAACAACATAAATATGTTGTCTGGAAGTTGGTAAGGAATCAAAATGAATAAAAACTTAAACCATATTATAAACCTGTGAGCTGCTTTGATTAGCTCTGATAGCTCAGTGTGAAAACCAGCTGATCCCAGGCTGTTCTCTACATCCAGTCTGTTCCTCTGCTTGCTTTGGATGTTTGTAAAAGCTGAAGGTGAACTCAAAGAAAAACTTACTTTTGGTTGATAAAAGCTTGTTTATTTTATCAACTGGATCTTTAGAAAGCAAAACCGCTCCCAGCCCTATTTCATTTTACTACTTAAGAAATAAAATATCTTCATGTACCCCTTGCAATGCATTCACAGACCACTAGGGATATGTGTACCCCCATTTTGGAATCACTGCTCTAGATGCATACATTTACCAAACTAGTTAATGTTAAGCTATATAAAAAAAATTTTGATTTAAAGTAAGTAAATATAATTTGAAATATAATGTTATTTAACTGAATTGAAAAATGACTTCTTTTTTTATTCAAGTGGAGATTAAATAATAGGCTGAGGCAGTAAATCAAAAGAACATTACTTTTACCTGGACTCAGGTTTGATGCTGATGAGCCTGTTTACAGAGTACTGTAGATAGATTTCTGCAGGAAAAACAAACACATGTTAGAAACACACGTTAGAGTAAAGGAAAATGTTGTGATTGTTTAATTTCATTGATTTTGTTTTTCTGCATTAGGGCCTCTGGGTATAAGTGAGGAGACTGCAATGGTTTTGAGATAATAGCCAAGTTCATACTTCAGATCTGCAGTCTTAAAAGGAAGACAGACAATTTTTCTTTGCGCTTTTTAAGCAAAATTTAAGATCAGACCAGGATTTACTGTTTCTTAAGCTTCATTTGATCAATGTGATCCTTGTTACCTGCTATCGCTCCTCCCACCCAAATGTCTTCAGACTTTTCTGAGATCCTGAATGGAAATCTAAGCTCCTATATACCGCTGTGCATACATTGTGTAGCTGTAACCCTAATAAAGGCTGGTTTAACCAAAGACTAATTATCTCAAAGGCAAATTATTTACAAAAAATGTGCTAATTGGTTTTAATTAGTGCTGTCAAAATTATCGCGTTATTAACGCGTTAACGCGAGGCCATTTTAACGGCGATAATTTTTTTAACGTGAGATTAACGCTATGTGGTTTTATGGTACAATTTTTCCAAGTACATCCCGCTGCAGCCTGCGGGGAGGCGGGGCTATTTTCCCCCAGTCTATGTATTTCTCATAGGCTTCAAGAGCGGAGCTCCTCAAGGGAAAAAGACGCTCATACACTGGGTGACGCTAGTGCCTTTTCTTTAAGCCCCACCACCAACAAACAAGTTGAGTGTCTGGTAACTAGTAGCAACCTGAAATACGCTGAGAAAACTGATTACTGAGGTGAAATGGAATCTCGTAGCAGCACTCTTGCCGTCTGTGTACGCAACACGTCGGTATCGCGTGTGTGTGTGTGTGGGTGGGTGTGTCTGTGTGTGGGTGAGTGGGTGTGTGTGTGTTCTCATTTTTGTTAAGAGGCTGAAAAGTAACTTTCTAGAGAGCATAGACTACCTTCATCTAGTGATGTCGGTCTATTGATTTTGATGTATTGATTGAAAATTGTTCATTATTACCTTGGTTAATTAACATCTAATTTTAACTCTACTAAATTTTATAGCAGTAGGATAAAATGCTTGTCTTTGTTCAAAAGACTGTATTAACTGTAAAGACTGTCTTTTACATCAGCCTGTTTTCAGGGCCTTTTTTTTGGCTACATATTTGTTATTTTTTGCTACATGCCTCCCCATCTTCTTGCCATATGTTTCTATGGCATAAATCAGTATCTGTGACCTGTTTTCATTTAAAAAAAAGAACATTGGCACAAACCTAGCCTGTATGTATTTTTTTGTATGTCATCGAGAGTATTTAAATGATTTTCAATCAGGAAAAAAATGTGCGATTAAAATGCGATTAATCGCGAGTTAACTCAGGCATTGATGCGATTAATCGCGATTAAAAAATTTAATCGATTGACAGCACTAGTTTTAATATATAAATTATCACACAAAAAAGGATCAGAGCATTATCTCAAGTCACATTTTAGTTAAAGACTACCATAAAAACCATTAGGTTAAGCATTAAGTAAGCTTTTGGTATAGTGGTTAACCCTGATTCTCGGATATAAAAATCAATTTGTTAGAGATTTTAAAATTTGCAATAATGAACCATGAATCTAATTAGTTATTCAGATGAGGTTAGAAATCCCTAGACTCTTGTTCAGACCTCTCCATGTCTCTATCTTGTGTTCTTCCAGTTCGTAGATCTGAACCTGCAGACAGAAAGAACATCCCGTTTCTGTCAGTGCAACAATCAGAGAAGAGTCCCATCAGTTACCAGAGAGATCAGTTATTGAGAATTCAATTCTGCAGCTCACCAGAGGAGACTTGTAGTAACGATGGAGGATATTAATGAAGTCCGTAATAGTAAGCATTCCTGCAAACACAAGCAGAATTTTCACGTTAACCTTCTTTCTTGGTGCAAGACATTAAATTACGAATTGTAAACGGCTGCAATTTTTCATGCTGGGAAACAAAAATCTGTAGAAACATCAGTTGCCTGTTTCTACTGCAAAACTTTACTCAGAACTGATGTTGTGGAGCCTTGGTTTCAGTTCAGATCACAGGTCTGAGTTTCTGGGTAGATTACAAACATAGATCTGCTGATGTATTATGCTCCCTCTAAGTTTTGCACTGCTAGACTGCTGCTTTGGAGGTTTATCTGCTAAAAGAGGTAAAAAGAATCAATTGAGTTTATGCAAATGTGTAACTTCAACAAAAAAATGTGAGGCAATGTTTTGTGTGGGAAGTCAAATTTTAGCAGAATGTGCTAAACGTAAAAAAATAATCTTTGAAGACAAAGTGGTAGTTAAAAGTGACCAGTTCTTAGATTAAGAAACCTCTTGAACCCAAGTGTTTCCTTACTGTTTAGAAGCTTAGCATGCATTTTTAAAGCTGCTACCATTTTAATTACCGTACAAGTGTCATGAGGAGCAGAGCATTTGTCCTGTTTGTAATACAACACTCCTAACTGCTGACCTGCTTTCCTTTCAAACATTTGAAACCAGAGTGGAATCTGAATGCAGGTCATTCACCTGCCTAACATCTTCATGTTTAAAAGAGCCTTAATTCTGTTCACTGCACAGCTCATGGATACATTGAGAATGTGAATAAATCATTAATATTTTAATTCAGTTATTCTAAAATACATTTTAATATTCCACAGCAGACAAACTGAAGCCAAAAGGCAATTTCAGACTGAGTTCCTTTATTATTGAATTACCATATTTCCTCTGTCTAGATACAACATATAACCATAGAGCAGCTATCATAGAATGTGAAGGAATTTCACCAATGAAAATAGATAAGGTGCCAGAGGTGAAGCCATGATATTTGATCTCTCAGTCAACATTGATCAATATTTGATAAAACCACATCAACAAGGGATTAGTACGGAATCCATTCTACTTGGATACTTCAAAGACCCATGTAAGAATTGACAGTGGCTGCCGGAGGTCAATGAATGACTTTGTAGTCGCATTCTTCCACCAGCAGCCACATCGATCACCACCTAGTGTTGAGCTGGATACTCTGGAAGAGGAGGAAGCTCGACATACTCTGCAGTCCAAAGAGAGGAGTGAGGATCCGCTAGGAATGTCTGTTGGAGCCCTTGGTAAGGGACATACACAACTTGAACCTCTGGGGAGATGCTGGAGACATGGAGAATAAGTCGACTATGTTGTCTGCTGGTATTACTGATGCAACCGGCCGTAACTGTGGCCATAAGCTCTGTGGTTCCTGTCGAAGCTGCAATCCCGAAACCTAGTGGAAGACACCAGCAGTAAGAGGTGCTTTCAGGCTGAAGAAGGGATCTTATCTAGCCCAGTTGGCTTGTGTAACCTCTGAGGCACCAAGCAGGTATTGTGAGGCCACTGCCCGGGCGGTCGCAGTGGCAAAAAATTGAGCCTGGGGGGAGTTTGGAGAGACAATCAAGAAAGACTATTGGTTGTCCTCGAAGCAATTCTGACAAACCATCCGGCCCCTCAAGGGGAGGAAGCAGTGCTTTGCTAACTTTATTTTAGTGGGAGTGGGGAGCTTCTGACCCTGAATGAGGACATTGTCAGAGGGTGGATGTTGTTCGGCACCCTTTGCTGACGCATTTTTTAACATCATGACACCTGAGACAGTGACCATAGATTGGCAGATAAGCTAGTGGTTCTTCTACATAAGAGAGGGGATCAGAGAGTGTGTTTCAAGTGACAATAGTGTGTCCCTCCTCCTAAGACCTAAAGCATGCACTGGACTTGTTCGCAGCTGAGTGTGATGCAGCTGGGCTGAGAATCAACTCCTCCAAGTCTGATGCCACATGGTTCTGAACTCGAAAAGGGTGGCTAATTGACTCAGGTTGGAGAAGAGTTCCTACCTCAGATGGAGAAGTTTGAATATCTTGGGTCCTGTTTACAAATGAGAACACAACAAAAAACCGGCTGTTGTAGTGAAGAGAGAGCTCAGCAGAAAGGCTGGGCACTCAGAGAGGAGCTTGGTCATTCAGGAGAGGCTCAGACTAGAGCTCATTCTCCTCCAGTTTCCTGAGCTTGGTCAGACATCTTTTTCAGATGCCCCCTGGACATGAAAGGGCCTGGGGAGAGGGAAGTCAGTGACTCGCTGCTCAGACTGCTGCCCCGGCAGCCTGGTCCTGGATAAAGCTGAAGATGAGTATGAGTAATTGCTTTCTTCTCTGAAATAGTAGAACGGACTCATAAAAGTGCATCAGTTTTTTTAAACAACAGGCTAAACTGTTTAAATAATTCTTTTTAAGGGAATCTCCATCCTATTTTTAACAAGCTAACAAAAAGGATTCCTGACATTTTAGAGCAGTGGTTTTAAAGCAAGGGTCATTAATCAGCAAGAGGGGAGTCTAGAGATATTTTCAAAGGTAAAACTAAAATAAATTGAGATATATAAGATTGTCTAAATATTAAAAAAGGCAATGGTATGCATTCTCAGCTAATATTGCCTATCGGTTTATGAGTCAGAGACTACTATTTTCCCAGCTAAAGGTGTTTTTTTTATGGGAAGAAATGGCACCAGAAACCATTAATATCTAAATGCCAGAACAGATTACGTGAGTATAAATTACAATAACAGCTTTATAGATCTTTGGATATTCTCACTGGGCTTTTGACAGTGCAGTTAGAAAATGCAGTAATCATGCCACTAAACAGAAGAAGAAAAAGAACAAACGCGGAAAGGTTGTCATCTCAGATACTTCTGAAACATCCCATAAACTTTATATTTTCTCTGAAAACATCTCAGATAGCTTCAGACGTACTCAAACAGAAGCTGTTCCTCCTAAGAGTAAAATTTCTAAAAACAAACTGAGCAGCATGGTGACAGGAGTGACCAGTTCTTTATAGCTAGGGGAAATAAACTATTTTTCCAGAGCAGACAGATGTTTGAGGAAGGAATGAAGGAAGACATTTAGTTCATGATAGAAAAAACAATGCTAAACAGAGGTAGAGAGCTGTAAAAAAAAAAAACACTGCATTCAACATTCAGGCTGTTGACAGGTCCTTTGCAATCAGTTAACTTCTTATAGAGGACCAGAACATTTCTAACAATGCGACGATCAACAGGGGAGACCAATCTGCATGTAAACTCTGCAGACCAATAGCATTGGACTTCTCCCTCCACAAGATGTTTTTTTAATTTGTTTGTACCTTTTTGAAGTCCATTCTTACATCATTTATGTTCAGTAACTTCACTTTATATATAGTTCATCTCTGTACTAACCGTCTGTGGTCGGAAAATTTAGATTTCTCTTATTTAATATATTGATTTATGCTATTTATTCACTGAAAAACTCAGTCAGATTCACCTGCAAGGCCATGTTTGAGTGAGGCGTGTTTGGAGAAAAGACATACTTATTCCCATAATAGGCTAGATTCTTTCTCAAGGTTTATTCATTTCATGTTACTGTTTAAAACAAAGTGTCTGTAATTTGTTTTGACTCTGGCTACTTTAAGTAAGTGAGGCATATGCCTCATGTAAGTATGATGAACTGTTCTCTCTTTGCAAAAATAAAATAAAGTGCAGACTGAGTGAAATCCATCAATCATTGTTCATTTAACTGGGGTGAATAGACACATGGTTAACCAGTCAACCACTGAAGTTGAGTGTAAGAACCATCTTTTACACTGCAAAAACTATCTAGAAATAAGTAAAAATTTCTTAAATTAAGTGTATTCATCCTTAATTTTAGTAGGTAAATGGGATAGTTTGACAATTAAATGAGTAATTTTACTCTTAAAATAAGATAATTAGATAATATGCCCTTGAAATAAGACAATGAAGTTGTGTTTTCTTATTTTATTCAATTGGCAAAATGTCTCTTTTACCTCCTCAATTCAAGAACAAATGCACTTATTTTAAGAAAAAATGACTTTTCTTGATTTTGATTTTTTCCAGTGTAGGAGGCTTTTCTGAGGATCAGAAAACAGTAAATCCTGTTAAAAAGGATGTAATTTTAAGATGTCCTTAAGCAGAGCTTTTTTAGTGGTTGAATGTTTCCCAATTATTATGCTTTTTTGTCATATCCATTTAATCTCCATAATCTCATATTGTTTGGTTTAACTTTAACCCACAAATCAGCAATGGCTGCTATTGTATGCAAACCCAGGGACTCTTGCAGGATGTCAGCTAGAAAAATGACTTAATTTCAGAATCAGTAATGCTATTTTCATATTCTACCTTAAACCTCTGATCGCAGAGGAAGCAAACAGGTAAACATTTACGTGGCAATATTGGCTGAGAATAGTTTCTGGAGTTCAGAGCTTTAGGGCGCATCTAGTTTTAATGATTCTAAAGTTTGTTTAAAAAAGTGAATCCACTAGGTTTCTAAGGTATAGAAGCAAATCCTTACCATATTCAAAATGAAAAAGCATTTTCTGAAATGCTTTTTCATTTTAAGAATGTGGCTGCATTGTTTGACTCATATATGAAATTAGTAATCAATCATCCTGTTTGCATTTTCATTTTCTTCTTTAACACCGCTCATCCTTTTACTTCATTAAAATGAAAAAGACATTTGAGATTTATTTTTCACAATGTACCCCAGCAAATAGATACCAAAATTCAATTTGAAATTTAAAATTTGAAAATGAAAAAGCATTTTCTGAAATGCTTTTTCATTTTAAGGATGTGGCTGCATTATTTGACTCATAAATAAAATTAGCAATCAATCATCCTATTTGCATTTGCATTTTTTTCTTTAAGACTGCACATTTTATGCCATAATCAAAGAGAAAACACAGCGCACATTGCTTTTCCGTGTTCGTGGTCTGCCTGCAAAGTACTGTCCATAACTCGAAAAGGAAAAAGCATTCTGAGCGGTGGGGGCAGCACAGTGACGTCAGCAGCCGCTCTTCCTCTGGTCCTTGCTGACCGGGCTACCCATCTTGTTCAGTAGGGGGCACTGTGCACGTCTGCATTGCAGTACATTGTTAGCATGCCGGCGGGAAACTCAGGAGCATTCGCCATTGCCACAGGTCCGTTAGAAGCAGGCACTTGCTTTAAAGCAGCAGCGGCCTCCCTCAGTAGCTCTGCCACTGTTTTGGTCATTGCGGTCGTTAAGTATGTCCCGATAGTCAGACCGGCAATTCAACCAGTTTTCTGCCGGCATGCTTACAATGTAATGCAATACAGTTGTGCACAGCGCCCCCTACCGAACAAGATGGAAAGCATTTCTGGAAATGCTTTTTCATTTTAAATATGGAAACGATTTGCTTCCATATCTAAGGTGTCCACTAAGAGTAAACCAGCTGAGAATTCCTCTTTACAAACACTGAGATGTTTCTTTGCCCACCTACAAAACACTGCAGCTTGCTGTCCCACAGGGGTGCTGCTCTCACACCGTTAGCCACCAATGCAAAGAAAGCTTTCTTCACCTGAGTGAGAAAGAAAATTAATTAATAGAAAAAAAAATTAAGGAATTTATGCCTTTACTGTCAGAGTTTGCACCTGCAGTGTTGTATCAAAAATGACCAGTTTGGAGCTTCTGGGCATGGCATCGTAGCAACTGTGACTTTTCATGAAGTTCATGTAAATGTAAGCGTCAGGGTCTGTTCCTGCAGGAGGCGCCATGGGGTACGTAGCATATGAAGAGGCACCTACAAAAAAAAAGAAATAACAGCAAGGGAGATAAAACATGAGGAAAATAATATGTCATAGGTGAATGTGTAGCATCAGTGATGCTACAACACATGCCCACCGGCCATGCTGCAGGTCAAACGATGGGGTTGCCCAGGAAGAAATAGCCTATACCAGAGTGAGTCTTGCATAACATGTTTACAATATAAAAGCTGTCAGTTTTTTGGGTCGGTTTTTCTTTAAAAATATGCTTTTAAACTGTTCAGCCCAGCAGAGTCGAAAGTGCGGCCCAGGAGCCATTTACAGCCCTCACTATGGTTTTCTGAGGCCCTTCACCAGAATTCAAAAGTTTGCCAGCACAGCAGTTGCTAGGCTGCAACATCAGTAACATGGGACCTTGAAAAGAGGAGGGGCCACACTGCAGTTCATTTAGACCAGTAGTTCCCAGGTTCACAGGAACCTTTTTGTAAATGTGACTGAAAATATTACAAAACACAGTTTACTGTTGAACTGGTAGAACTGAACTGATAGAATTGAAAATAATTGAAATAATTTTTACAACATTTGTTATAAAAAAAAAAATAAAAAATACATACTCTATGGGCTCTCAGTACTTTAGACTGGACACCATTGGTCTAAGTCCATAGATAATAGGCTGAAGTTGGTACACATTTCTGTTTTTGTTTAAAGAAATAAAATCTTCATTCAGCGCCTCACAGATCTATTTCTGCTGATTGAGAGTGAAGCAGTTCTATGCAGAATTCCAGTTCTGTTGATTTTCAGCTCTTAAATAAAAAATATGCAATCATTTTCTGCACAACAGGAGTACAGGCATGGTGAAGAGGGCCAGGAGACATAAAAAAAAAAAAAAACTCTCTTTGGGTTTCTGTTTGGAGATAATGTAAATGTTGATGAAATCCATATTTTTGAATCTGAGTAGCACCGAGACTCAACACTGACCCATGAGTTCTATTTTTAGTTCCACTGAGGTCTATCAGTCTGCAGGACACCCTTAAAAAATGCTCCTTTTAAAATTTCGGTATATTTAAAAATAGTTCATAAAGTTGCTTTGCATTGAACAGCTAATATATTCAATCATGATTAATACCTTTTCAACAAAACATGATTGAAAGCATTTCGAGCACTAAAATATGCATCGATATTTTCAACAGTTAATCAAGCCAATTCTGAGGAGCAGCCAACACCGTTTGATCTCTTTGAAAAGGATTAACTACCTTTGCTCCTCATGGAGAGGACTTCCTCTTCCTCATACTCATCCATCTCAAACAAGGGGACCTTAAAGACAGAACAAAAGACAATTATGATGGGTGCTTGGACATGGACGCTGCAGGATTATGTTTATGAAAAACACACCTACAAATCTCCCGAATGGCTTTGCAGTGGCCTAGTCAAAGTCCTGACCTTAATCAAATTAAAAATGCTGATCATGCTCATTTCAAAAAAAAAAAAAAAAAAAAAAAAACCCAAAAACAATCCACTGGACCTTGCTTCCAAGTTTGAAGACGTTTCACTTCCCAATCCAGGAAGCTTTTTCAATTCAAATTTCTGAAATAATTTTGAGTTTGAGGCTTCATATAGTAGCCCAACAACGCCTTGTTTTTGCTAAGAAAACATGCAAATTGAAATGGAAGAACAGGTCCACCCATTTTAGAATGGGGGTCATTTCATTTGGCTTCTTTTGTTAGCCCCATATCTGTCTATGTCTCTGAAAGGTGGTCGTTAAAGGGAACTGTTGGCCTGGCTGATCAGGCGAGGTCTTCTGTTCTCCTGTAAAGCAGTTGGGTTGCTCCAATATCTTCAAATGTTGCTGAGTTATAGCAAATTTTCAAAAAGAAGTGGATCCTGATTTTTTCACAGCGTTGTAAATGTTGTATGTAAATTGCTGCAAAAAATTGACTGTAGTTATGTTGCTAAGGGGGTCCAACCAGCCATTAGGTCAAGGGAGCTAAATTCATTGGAGTCCTGAAATAAAACTTGTTAAAAGCTGCAGATGATGTATTTGAAACTGATAACCACTCAGAAAGATGATATCTCCAAGGATTATTAATGAAAAAAATGTATTAGTTAAATATGTGTCACTTTGTGTCAGCCATCATATATGTGGAGGTATCAGGACTAAATGTGCAAAAGCTCCAAAAAGAGGCCTGTTTTGCACTGGAAAAACAATCTAGAAATGAGCAAAAATGTCTTAAATTAAGTGTATTTACAATTCATTTGAGTAGGTTAATGAGCTGATCTGCCAATGGAAGGAGCATTTTTATTCTTAAAACAAGATATTTAGATAAAATGCACTTGAAATAAGACAATGCTATTGTGTTTTCTTTATTTTAAATGTAAATCGTCTTGTTCTATTGGCAAAGTGTCTCTTTTACCTCCTCAATTTAAGAACAAATGCACTTATTTTAAGAAAAAATTTGTGAAATTCAAGTAGCTATCAGCAGGGGAACCTCAGAGCACGCTTAACTTGCTATAACCGTTCACACCTGCTATCAGTGCCCATCTCAGGAGTAATAGTGTGAAGTGTTTTCATCTTCACATGTTGTACTTAAATTGACAAGCTATACTGAGAATTCAAATAGAAGGTAGAGACGTAGCATTCAAGAGTGTAAGAGTAGCCGGCCTGTTTTTACTTTACAGCTTCTCAGTTACAGAGAGGTGTCTAAACACAGATACCAACATGCACAGGAAAGGGGGGGGTGGCGGGGGGGGGGGGGGGGGGAGATTTGGGGGGAGACTCTCCTTGCAGAGGTAAGTCTCTGCAAGGAGACTTACCTCTGCAAAAGCCTCCATGACCAAGAAGACTGGTAGATCTACCTTTGTGGAACCAAGGTGTTCAAAGAAGGGATTGGCATCACAGAGCACGGCAGTCTGTGCCGAGTGGCAATGTTGGCATAAAAACCATCTCAGATGAGGAGGCGATGAATATGAAGGAGGGAAGGCATGGTGAAGAGGGCCAGGAGACACACAGGAAGTGCAAAACAAAGAGTTTGGTGATGGAATCCTGTACTGCGGACAGCTGGGTCCATGTGCCTGGGAGAGACTGAGGTCTAAATCTGGAGCGAGGGGTGGGAGGCCTGTGGCATTTACAGAGGGAGAGAGAGGGAGGGGGAATGGGTGGGTGAAAGCAGAGGGCGGACAGAGACCCTACATGCTCATGCAAGAGCAAATATGAGATGGGACGTCTTCATCTGCCAGAGTTAAACCAGGGAAATGTCTCTAAATAAACATCTTTGGACTTTAAACATCCAGACTATGACGGATGGTGCAGTGGTTACACGGTGCTACTGAGGAACAGTGGTGGTGCTCAGATGAAACATTCAGGCTTTTATCAGAGTATTTTAATTTTAGTTTCTTTAAAAACAAAGGCGAGACCTTTGAGCCTGACAGTATCTGCCTTAAAGGGTTGAAAGTACGCAGCTGTCCTCATGAGAGACCGAGATATTATTAAAAAAATAGAATTTTAATTTATGGAACTTCTCATGGCCAGTAGTTTTTTTTCTGTATGTTATTTCTAGCAAGTATTAAAATATTTTTAACATATTTGGAGAAAATGCATTCAGCTTATTATTATCTACAGTGTAAATCCTGTCAACCTCTGTAATCCACGCGAAGCATCAAACCCGGCTTGGTTCTGTCCCAGTGGTTCTTGAATTTTCAGGAAATTCTTTAAATGAAGGAATGTTCTTATCAGGTTCTAAGATATCAACGCTAAACTTTGAGCTTCTTCTTTATCATGTTGTGGTCCACTATACTGAATAATCCACAAATCCTCTCTTTAAAATCTCTGGCTGGTTTGGATAGAGTTGCTCTTGTAGGATGTTTGACCCCGCCTCCTAATTCAAAGCATTGTTCTTGGTTGAACATGTTGGAGTCGGTATAGCAGAGCTAACTGTAGCATTCAATCCTTTCATCCCTGGAAGGAATTAAGTTTAAGTGTAAATTCAATCTGGAAGATTCATCAGCTTCACCTGCAATGTCCTTGTTCAGCTCCAGCCAATCAGTGCAGGGGCAGCACCTTCTGCAAAGCTAATCATCTTTCACGATCCCCTTCATTTAGCTCTGGCCTAGCTTCCCTCTCCCGCACACCATCTCATCCCTCTTTCTCAGACTATGCTCAGTCCTATTCATCCTCTGGCCATGGTTGAAGACTTCTCTAATCCTTTTCTACACTAGGTTACTCATCCCAGCAGATGTTGATTCATAGCATCAAAGTTTTCTGCCGGGTGCAAAAGAGCTTATTTCATTTATGTCTATCTGCTTCTGTCTCCTTGAATCCCAGTGGTCCTCAGCAGATGGCCGCTCACACTGAACCTGGTTCTGCTGGAGGTTTCTTCCTGTTATAAAAGGGTTTTCCTCTCCACTGTCTCTACATGCATGCCCAGTGAGAGGAATTGTGGAGAGTCAATGAGTCCTTGCAATCAGCTGGTTTCCCTCAGAAATATGTTGAAGAATATGATTGTGTTACCTGCATAAATAAACTGAATATTTTTCTAATTGCAGCTTTTCTCTGTGTGAGTCTCTCCGGGTTGAAATGAGAATGAGGACATGTCGCTGACTCATCATCTTAATCCTGCAGAAATTCAGCCGATCACTCATGTTTCCTTCAGAGATAAGTTTTGTAATTACTGCTTTGGTTTCCGCCAGTGGTAATCTAGCCTTGCACCCCGTGTTAATATCCTGTTAACACTTCTATGGGCGGATGGCCCTGACTCTCGATAGACACCTGAAAACCTTCATTTCAGCACAACATCTTAGATTGAATAGTTGATCAATTAAATAAAAAATGTTTTAGCTGCCATGTTCTCAGAGCATTTAGATGCAACATTATAATGGCTCAGTTCTTCTCTCTGGATTAATTATTAAAAAGTAGAAGACAATGACTTAAAGTGAAGTATGCTTCTACATAAATTAGAGTGAATTCAGCTGGATTACATAAATATATTGAAATAAACTGAGCTAACAATCCGATGAACACATACTGTACATCGATGAATAGTTTTAGCTGCAAAGATAACATTTTAAACGAGCAAAGCTTGCTGGACCACAAATGTTTCTGGTCAGAACCCAAAACAGGCCATTAGCTGCTGGACTGAAAAATGATTGATGCTAATAAGAAGTAAAATATATATATATAGATACAAAGGAAGAGAATTATGGGCTGTACAATCCAACGACTGGATGCTGAAGCAGCAAACTCCTGCATGGAAGCTAAGAATGAAAGCAGAAATCATCGGCCTGGACCATGACCAGGTGTTTGGTTTGATTCACTTTAAAAATGGAGGAATGCATCATAGCTGGACGGTCAGCTTACCGATGACTCATCAAGGTACGGTTACTGAACTTATTCAGCTATTTTTAAAAAAGAATAACAGTTGCAGTGCAGCTTTAAGGCTTCTGTGGACCTGAGTGAGACGTTCAGGTTACATCGAGCATTAACTATTTATAGCTCCACTGAGCCACTCCAAGACTTACTCCTGCTTTGCACAGCTAGCAGTTTATACATTTAACCTCAAACTTCAGTTGAAATGTTTGCAAATCTATGAAAATATGATATTCCATTGATTCTGCTGAGCAACTATTTTCTTAAAGCACATCATCTGCTGTGCAGAAGTAAAAATGACTCACTTTGCTGAAGCTAAATCCACTAATCTGCTGAGTTCAGCTAAACTATAATGATGAATCCTGCCGTGTTTATTCACCACACTGATGCTTCCTGGGAAGATTAGGCCCAAAACATATCTGACCAGAAAGTCCATTAAAGCATGTCTCAAAGATCTCTGTGGCAAGTTCTAAAGTTATTAATTCAGAGCACTTCGAAGGCAAACTTACCTGGCCTCACACACACAGCAACCCGCATAAAAACACCTTTATTTGCCCTCATTGTTCATGGATTTAATGCAGGGGTCTTCAGCGTTTTCAAAGCCGAGGACCCCCAAACTGATTGCGAGATGGAGCGGGGACCCCCTAATTATATATATTGTATGAAATTGTGTTATATCAAACTGGTCCTATAGTCACTCTATTACATATGGAATCATGTAACGAAAGTAATTTCTCCCTGGGATTATTAAAGTATTTATTGAATCTGATTCCTGGTTTATGGGACAGGTGTTCTGAATGAAACGGTGCCCAGGTTTGAAAGAGCTCCTGTGTGTTGCTGAATGTGAGCATTGATGACTGAAAGACATCTTCTGCTTCCATTTACCTGTTTACTACAGTGTGTTGAATTCATGTTAATGTGTATTTAAAGACATTTTAATTAGTGCAAAAAATTGCAGGAGGGAATATAAAAAAAAAAGTAATCAACAAAGACTTTCGCGACCCCCATGCAGTACCTCCACGGACCCCCTAGGGGCCGCGGACCCCCTGTTGAAGACCTCTGATTTAATGGTTTGAATTTGGGCAACATTGTGTCTGTGTCATTAAACAGTGAAGATAAATACCTGGTTTTAACTTTTTAAATTGCACTAATGAAAAAGATTCATGCCTATTTTATTTTTCTTAGAAAAAACATGACTTATTTTAGCTGCAGATATCTCCATTATGCACTTAAGTGTCAATATGCCTAACTTACATGTAAAACAATTATTCATCCCTCCTCACATTTAGGTTTAAACTACTAAAGCAACTAAAATGTTTTCTCTAACTTCCATTTACAGTGTATTAGCATTTCTGAGCAGTTCAACCCAGAGTCTTGACTCTGACGGGATATTTGAAGGGAGTTAAAGTTTAGAAAGATGCTACTGGACCTTTGCAACATTAAATACTCAGGGCCTGATCTACTAATAAAAGTGTATAAAAACGAATAGAAATCCTGACAGATTGCATCTCTAACGTAAGCAGACAGCAGGTGCAGTCAGTGTTTACATCGTAATGCAGAGGAGGATATGCAAAAGCAATTATCTTATCTTGGCTACGTGTGAAGAATCTGCAATTAGTTGATTTGCTTTGTAGTTGAAAATTACACATCTGACAGAGCAAATATGTTTATCTGCTGAAAATTGGCTTTGCATCAAATAGCACATCAGTCTAAGATAGGGTGTCATTTTATTAAGAGGCAATGATTTGCATCGTCATCGTAGCTCTTATTCACAATTATGAAAATACCTCAAATAAACTGTTTTATTCATTTAAAAACTGCCATCTGTCCTGCAACTGTGGAAAGTGAGCCTTTCTTATACAGTTGGCTTCAAACATTTCAACGGTTTTGGCAGAATGTGTGATGAGGTCAGTGTGATAACTAGGCAGTAGCTACAGCTTAAACCAATAATATACTAACTAAAATTTTTGCCTATGTTGCGCCGAAAAGCTTTTATGACTAAATGGGTTGGAGATGAACCTCCTCAAAAACATCTGTGGAAGTCTTCGATTTTACATTCTATTCCTCTTGAAAGATTTCTTATCAACAGTCAGAATGACATATTTTAAGCAATATTTGATAAAGTGCTTAACTACTGTACCTGGGAACATATACAGACTTTGATTTTCAGGGACTGCGTCCTCCAGATTCGTTGACCGATTCCATCACAGCGTGGCGCCAAGGTCCGTTCAGATTGGAGTTTGAAGGAAGGGGCCGTTGTAGCCTACGATATCCCATGATTCATTGAGAGTCCAAGAAAGCCAAATTCTATCAGACCAGCATACCAATAGTCAATACCAGTTTATTCCTTTAGTTTTGTATGAAAAATACACTTTAATAAACTACCGCAATGGGTGTGGATCCTTTTAGTCATGTACAAAAAAAAATATTTAATTACCTTTTTGAAGCGTGTGGCGATATGACCATACAGTTTTTTTTTGTACAATACTAAAGGGATACAGGCCGGTAAGGTACATTAAAGTGTATTTTTTGCACAAAACTAAAGGGATAAATGGGACTAGCATACGTTTATGCAAATCTGACGTCTTGCACATGCGTATTGACTATGGGTGTGCTGGTCTGATGGGGTATGCTGGTCTGACAAAACACCAGCTGTTCTGTTCTCAGAGGAAAAAGGTGCTTTGCGCTGAGCAGTGGTGAATATTGTAAGTGCAGTTTCTACTAATAAAAGTATGTGAATGTGGGTCATTTAT